AAAAGAAAAATGGAAATGATACGAGTAAAAAATCAGTAATTAATTATCAAATTAGCTAAAAAAGTGTATAACATTGAAAACATCTCATTGATAAATTACTCGTTTATGATAAATTATTTTTCAACTATTTGCACCACCAATATGATAATGGTATTAAATTTGAGCGCAAAATTCGTATTGAAATTAATTTCTGATTAATTAATTGCATTAATTTTAATTTTTATCTATCCATTAATCGTGTTATTGTTGAAGTTATTAATTTCTTTTAATGTTTCAGTACTAATTTCTTTTACTATTTTAACAAATTCCTTTTATTTTGCTTTAAATATTATTGAATTTGTTTATACATTACCCTTTGAATGAATCTCTTTTATTGTTTAAGTATTACTATGAGTGCAATTGAATTGGAATAAAAAGGAAAATTCATTGAAAAAAAAAAATTCATGAATTCCTTCTTTTTTTCTCCTCATCTCTCCTATTTTAAAACTTTCTTTTTCAATCCTATTCAATTTTTCCTAACCTAATAGTTTTATTTACTTTTTCTTTCTTCCTTTCTCTTTCTCTTCCTCTCTCGAAAATAAATGTTGATAAAACGATATACAAAATTTCAAATAATGACTATAATCCTTCTCTCTATTCTTCCTTTTCATTTCCTCTTCTTCATTTGTGAAGCCCGTAATGCCATATATCACAATTTAATAATTTAAATAATTCTTAATTATTATTTAATTTCAACGAAATCAATTCCTAATTATTAATTAATTTAAAAATCGGCTTTTTTTTCACCCCTTATAAAGAAATCGTTTAGCTATAATGTAGATGGAAATCAATTCCTAATTATTAATTAATTTAAAAATTGGCTTTTTTGCACACCCTATAGAAAAATCATTTAGCTATAATATGGATAGAAATCAATTTGTTATTTTTTAATTAATTTAAAAAGATAGCCATAAACGTTAGAGCAACTAAATTTACACTTCAAAGTTTTATTCATTTCAATAAATTTTTCAAAATTTTTTAGTTGATCAAAGTACGAATGCATAAAAGAATCGTTGAAAATAGTTGCATTTTTTTTTTTTTTAAA